GATTTTAAAGTAGCATCTGGCCTCAAAGGATCTTCATATTTAGGCAAACTGGCACAAAGTGCAGGCAAGGGGTATGTAAAAGCTTCATTCGGGGAAAACCATCTTGGAATCTCCTCATAGATCTGCCATCGGATCTTTTCTCACACAGTCAACAAAGATTTTTGAATAAGATGGGTTGAAATATGCTCTTTTGCCTTTTGATACCACAAATATGCGTGCCAGCCAAGTTCAAGGTCATGGCCTTCTATTTTAAGCAATCTTTCATTGTTGAGCGCTATCCATTCCTTAATCCAAACGAAAATAGATGCCTTATAATAGGACCCTCAATCAGGGAGGCCAAACCCTGCTTTATATTTAAAATCTTGCATCACTTTTAGACGAGGGCTGAGAGAGTTCTGAGAGAACTGTGACTGGCCCAAGGTCACCCAGCAGGCTTCATGCAGAGGAGTGAGGGATCAAACGCAGTTCTCCAGATGAGAGCCACTGCTCTTAACCACTACACCAAGCTGGCTCAAGGGAATATGATGCAGTGCCATATAAGAAGACCTCAACATATGGGCAGTTATATATATGTAAAGATAGTTTTTAGGATAAGTGGATCTGCCAGATAAAGAAGCATAATGGCCACATCTTAAGATTTATCTTAATTATGCCATATTAAAGGTTTAACTGCAATTTTTACAGTGCAATCCTAAACAGAGTTAGATTGGAGGGGTGTAACTCTGGTTCGGTTTGCATTGGAAATGATCGTTTGCACATATGAAACGGCTATCATTTCAGTGGCCAAATAAGAAACATGGTGTAGGACTCCTTCCCTTACATTCTAATTTTGAGTATAAAAATAACCAAGGGAGGAAAACAACAACAACTTCACTTTTGCAGTGCATGGATGTCTAATGTTCTAAATGCTTTTGATGGCACAGCAGCAATTTGAATTAGTTTCTGTCTACAAGGGAAATCCCAGCTTACTTTGTGTTTACCAACAGCCAAAAAAGTACCATCTGAAACATTCCTCGGTGGAGAGCTTGATGGTTGAGACTGCGCTGGAAAGTTTTGATTTCCTCAATGCTGACTGCAGTGCAGATGAGCTGTCGTCCTTGGGGAGCGTAAGGACCCGCAGTGTCAGGTGGGTTCTTCCATGGAAGGGACTAAGTTGCTTTTCAACAGGAATGCTCAGGATGCAAGAGATGTGTGCTTTGTTTTGAAAAGAAGACTTCACGATGTATAAAAGTCGTGCTTTTGCTTGCTGGATCTGGTCTTTTTACCTTTCAGTCTATACTATGGTGTCAGTTGTTGCTACATTTATTTTAACAGTGTTAAACCTAGTTACTCAGCGCTAATGCAGTAACGACTAGTAGCATAATGCAGATAGACCAGGTCTAGCGAGCAAACACTTTTTGGGAAAAAAAGAAGAATTTGTAACTTGTTTTCAGAAGGACAGTTTAGAGGGGACCATGTATGCCTTTCATAGGAGGGTCCACCAACACACGGGGCTAGAACAGAAAAGGCCCTGTTTCTTATGGAATTCTGCAAGGATGATGTTTGCCGCCAGTATACTTTATTTGTAGATCCTAAATATTTGTTGATCTCATTTTGCAGAAAGGAAGTGCAATTTGTTGCCATGGCTGGACTCTTTAAGAAGTTTGTCATTTCTTCTTTTCCTGGACAGCAGGACTCTAAAGCAGGATTCAATTCTCCCTTAGAATCTCTTTAATTCTGCATTAGAATCTCTTGTCTGTAGAAAAGGAGAAAATTGCCGTTTGTTAGAGCACTACAATTTGGATGTCACAACAAATTAGATAGTAGAGTTGCTAAACTGGGAAACTATTAATTTTGGATCCATGTGTGAGAGCTTGGGGGAGTGAATATGGAGTCCCCAAATAAACCAGATTAGTTCTTATCACAAATAAATAGGAATTTGTGTGTGATATCTGAATGCAGTTACTGTCTGTTGTCTCTCCTGATGTAAAGAAAGTTATAACATTGGCTTATTTACTTATTTATAGGCTTGGATCCCATCAACGAGTTTGATTCGCAGCAGACAGCTTCTGTGGCAGAGCTCCCATCCTCTTCCACAAGTGCTTCTGTTGGAACAAGATCAAGCCCTTGCACAAACAGATGGGCTAGCAGAAGAAGAAGCAAGCTCTGTGGCAGAGGTTGTCTGGCATGTGTGGAACTTGTTCATAGGAGCCAATCTTTTATTTTCTGTTGGTCCTGCTCTGCTTGCTGTATGATTAATTAGGGGTATGCACTTGGTATATACAGAGCCAAACAAATACCCCCAAAATACCTTATTGGTGTTTTTTTTTCAGGCATGGCTAGAAGGCATTTAAAGAGACTGTGGCCTCTTTAAATGGCTTCTGAATTCACTCACCAAGTTGTGCCGCCACTGCGATGTGACTTGACAAGGGACCTCAGAAGGGATTTAAACTTTAAATCAGTGAGTGAACTCAGCAAGTTAAAGTTTAAATCTCTTCTCCATTATACCCTATGGGGACCATAAATAAATTCGGGTTTCCCAAATATTTACCTGAATCCCAATACAAAACCAATATTGGTATTTGGGAATATTGATATTTTCCAGGTCCAATAGACCTGAATCGGGGGGAAAAACTATTTTTTGCACACCCCTACTATTAACTATATATTTTTTTCTCTTAGCACCAGCACCTACAATGATGGCACATTTCATTCCCTGGGCTATGTTACTAAAGCAGAAAATGAAGAGTTAACCACAGGCAGCGATGACCTAGACACACTTCTACACGTTCACCTGCAGTTCTGCGAAGCTCTTCTACAGGTGGGTAAAACCACATTTCAATGAGCCTCTTTTGCACAGAGTGAGTCCTTGGAGCCATATTGGTACTAAATATACAGAGGAGCACCTTGCACTGTTGTTTTAGTGCCCTGGAACAAACCTGTGCATACTCTGTACTTGGATTACTGGAAATAGTAAAACATCCTTAAGGAGTCCTTTAGTCCCATAGGAATCTTTGCCGACCTATCCTTTCACATACCAGTTATTCTATTATACTATATAATATATTACATTAAGGTAAGATTTGATTTTCTTTTTTAAAGAGCCACATGTTCTAGGCCCCTGATTTAGGGCCCTTGCCCATGCTTGCAAGATTCTTTGCCCCCCCCCCCAGCACTGCATTAACATGTGCAAAGAGCGAGGGCAGCCTAACACAATCAGTTCAAAAGATGCACCTTTGCATCTGTGGATCATGGGATCCAAACTGTTAGCTTACCTGGGGAAACTAGCATTGGGCATAGAAGCGGAAGAGGAAGCATCCTACAGAAAAGGTACCTTTGAGTTAAAATTGTTGGTTTCAAGAAGGGGTTCTGTGCCAGGTAACTGAAATACAGGTTCGCTTTCAGCAAGGTTTATTGGCAAAATTAAGACTTCTACAGAAG